AATCCCTTCTTGCCTCAGCCTTTTTAATTTAGCTCAGTGGTCACATCCTCTAGAGAAGACTTCCTTGAGACTTCTTCCCTGGACTAGCACACAACATTTCTGTTTCCTTGCCTCTCCTCTAAACTAAACTGACAGGGTCTTGAAGGCATAGGTTGGATCTTTTGTGACTTTAGCTCAACCACCATATGATGCATGACAACAGTAGATATACAACACATTAGCTGAATGCAAATGTGGAACAAGGGAGGGAATGAAAGCAAGTTGCTTTAAATTTTTTGAAGCAAAATAGAAATTGTTCTGGAAATGAGAAATCTGAGACAGGCTGCTTAAGAATTGTGAAACTGAAAGTAATCACGCTTTCCTTGATGTTTAATGATAATTAGCTTAATATTTTGAATTCATTTATACCACCTCCAATTCCTTCTGGATAATATTGTTTAGATCCTCTACTTGGACAGGTTTCTTCTTTCCATCTATACAACTGTACTGTTTTAATTATTTATTTCCCACATTTGGGCTAACATGTATCTATTTTGAAAAAGGTAGAATCGTGTATATATAAATGAAAACGAATATACTAAACTCCATGCTTAATTATTTTGTTTTCATCTGAAACGATGATGTTGCTGTAGGCATTACCATTTTTGCATCACTGTAAACATCTTGAAAAAGCAACATTATCTTTTTAAAAAGACATTAACTTTTCAGCAGTGATAGCAGAAGCAGTAGAAGCCATGACAGCCATACATTTCAAACTGCTTTTGGTGTGTTCCCCTGGCTGCCCTGACTGTTGCTTCACCTTTGCTTTTAGGCTGACCACCTAAGGACCAGATCATATAGATTTGGCCTCTCTCCTCTGCTTGATTTCCCTGATGATATCATGTGCCTGGGAATGGAAAGCATGGGATATAAAACTACATGACTAATCGGGCATGTTTTATAGTTTTAGGTTCAATCATCATTGTCATATAAACACAGACTCACACTGATCTGCTCTTGAAATATATTATATATATTTATCTCTGTTTGATTCCAACCACATTCCCTAAACCATAATAAATAAATTTTGGGTAACCAACACATATTAACCAGAGTTTCTTTTTTTGTGAACATGCTAAAAATATAATGAATAAGATAATATATAATCATGAAAGATGAAAATATGAGGGGGAATCAATATGAGTTACTATGAGAGGTGCTCTGTTCATATTTTATGCCATGTCCTCATAACCCTTAGCAACATCTGGTAATTAGAGAAACTCTTCTCCAATCAGCTGTCATCCGAAGTTGATAATCAACCCCCACTTGTATTTGTTGTTAAGTGATTTAGCAAATAGGTTCCCCAAACACAGTAGATAAGTAAAATTGAGTTATATTGCCCAATCTTCACTTGACTCTACCGGTTGACTTATGAAAAGCAATACTCCCAAGGTCCGGTAAGCTAACATTGCCACCTACTGCTCACTCCAGGTACAAACTGCCACATCTCAAGCCAAAGGCTGTAGATCCTCTCTGGGTAAGAAATAGACTTTTGAGCCTTGAGTAATCATCAACACTGAGCCAATCAAAGGCAGTGGGCACTGTTGTAAATGTGAACTATTAGTGATAATTATATTTAATTAAATTTCCTAAATTGGGAATATGGCTTATAGATTTTTTTATATGTTTTGTTCTCTATTATACCTCCGGCATTCAGAACAGTGCCTGACACATAGTAGTTGATCAATAAATATTTATTAAGTAAATGAATCGCTAAAGAAAAAGGGTATTTTTCATGAATTTATCATACTATTCAGCAAAATGAGTTATTGTGATTTTTTTTTCAGTAAATAAGAATAAACCTATTTAGAATTGGTAGAGAGAGGAACGAATAAAAATAAAAGGAAAGGGGGAAAAGAGAGACTTCCAGATGATTGCAACAAAAATACCAGAAACACATGATAAAAAATCTGAATGAAAAAGAAATTTATATATGATATGGACAGCCTACTAACAACAGTCAATCCTGCAGATGAGATTGTGACATTAATTTCTTTTTATTTTAACAAAATTCAAAAAAAGAAAAAGGTTATTTTTAAAATCATGTATTTTGCTTTTTACTGAACACTCAAGTAGTCACATTCAGTTATTTATATATTATCCATTGTTTTCACACTGGCATTTGCCACAGAAACTGAGGAAGAATATTGACCTAGCTTTAATAAATTTGTAATGAGAAGTTGTTTGCTAAAAAGAATTCCACTTATCAAGAGTGGAATTGGTTTTCAGGGTATCTTTTTTAAAAGCACAGATTTCCTCTTTCTTTTATAGTGCTCACATCCAGATGTGCATATATTGAGAAAGTTTTTAGTGCTCCTACCCATCTTACTGGTATGCTAAGAATGCCTGACCCTGACTCCTCTGTATCTGGGTCATTTCCCAGTGTTGGGTGTGCAGCCAGCAACTTTCAGGGTTGAGGAACAAATGTCTTTCTCTGAGACAGAGTGGGCTTGCTTACTGCTTGCTTTAAAACAGCCAGTTCCCCAAGTTAAGGATTCCTCTCCTGAACACAACCTGCAATGGATGCAGTGACCCATATGGGCCTATCTGTATCACCCCCTGGAAATTGGGGAACTGATGTGACTAGTTACTGCTTTTGCTGTGAGTAATAAAGCCTCTCAAAATTGATTCAGAAGTCACATGTCTTCTGTGAGCATCCATGAATCTGCGACAAGTTAACGTGTTAGATAGAAAGTTGGGTAAGATCTCAGACCCCTCACGGTTGAAGTCAGCATGACTTCAGTTAGAAGAACCCAGTGCACTCAAGGCATAGCAAAGGGAATTTTCAAAAAGACAATTCAGTGCTTCGGAGATAAACTGATGATGTAAACTGAGAATACCCCTTCAATAGTGAAAGTTTTTTTTTCAGAACTTTCAGGCTAGAAAAAAAAATGTTTTAAGAGATTTTGAATTTATATTAATGTTTTAAATCTAGTGCTTCATTTTAACTAAGATTATTATTGGTGTTATGCCAAAAATTGGATAAAGTAGTGAGAATTTGAAGATTCCACAATATAAGTCAAAAAAAAATACCATTTACAAGGCTTGTGAGGTTTCCTTCTTTAATTTAAATGGGTTTACTCACTATATTATTTCATCATTTATTGCTTCTTAATAATATGGTAAATAATTAATTTCAAGAGTCATGATTAAACATTTGCTCTCTAAACTTCAGCTTCTACTTTTGCTATGGTAAAATATCCATCATCTTTCACAATGAATTCTTAGATGTGGACTTGAAAATTATTTCCTTGAAACTTAGAAAAGAGAGAAAGAAATCTATATCTTTGTAAGTACACTTGGCTATAGAGAATGCTGTAGTATACATAAATCCCGAGTGAACTTATTATAATTTGAATTGCATACAAATGATGAAATAGGGGATCTAGAAATCAAGTCTTTGGAGTTAAGAAACATGAGTTTTCAGGATCAGACCTGAATTAGAATATAAGTTTGAAAAAGTAATCACTTTGTTCTTCATTTAAAAAAATTACTGCTGCAAAAGATATCATTCCTTCTCCTTCAAGCCCAGGAATAATAGAAGAAAAATCTCTCTGGCAAGGTAACAAATAATGAAAGCAGAGAAAGCAAGAGCCAGAGAGTGAGAATGAGAAGGAAGGAAACACACACACACACACACACACACACACACACACACACTCATAAAACCTCTACATTATGCAAAACTATAAACTATAGGTTTGTACTAGAAGCATTGTTTTACTGTAGCGAGTTTCTTTAACTATTTCCCTTAGAAACAGCATTAATTGATGGGCAGATGGCCTACTCATTTTGTAAAATGAGGGTGTATTGTAAGTAAAAAAGTCTCTTCTTCAAAGAGAAACTTTACTAGCACCTACCATCTACTTAGCTCAATGGCTTCAGTAATGTGCTATGTTTGTTCCTTCTCTTAAAACAAAGAAATCCCAAGCAACAAATAATTTGGCGATAAATATCTTTTTTTTTTCTTTTTTTCTTTTTTTTCTTTTTTTACCATAACTATAGCTCCTCTATTTTGGAATTTTATTATTTGTCCTTTAAAAAAAATTCCTACTAGTAAAGAAGTTCAAAATTAAGTAGCCACATATACCAGACATTGTATTTAGAGTATTGAAGTTGTGACTTTAAATCATGCTGTACCTATCTTCTGGGGGCTCCCCATTTGTTTTCTTCTATATTTTCCAGTTTTAAAAATATCAGTGAAACTTTAAGTATTAAACAATTCCAATAAAACAGTTTGAAGATACTATTAAATTTGAAAAGGTGGAAAAAACTTTCAGATAAAGTCACCGGCCTCAGATGCTAAGCCCCACTCAAGTGACAGGAGAATATAGCAGGAGCACCTTACTACTACAATTAATATTAAATGACTCAACCAGGAGAAGCAGAATAATTTTCCAACTCAAAAAGACCTGGAGCTGACCCAAAGTGAGATTTCCTTTTGGTTGACTTAAAAAGGTAAGACCAAGGCAGGGAAGTCAGGTCAAGATTCTATTTCTAGCCTTATGGTTTATATGCAGAAGGTTTACAATATTCATGGATTTTTACCTAGTAAATGAAAAAGGATTAAAAAAAGAGAAAGACCTTTTGGTAAAGGTTTCAAGGTGTTGTTTTTTTTTTTTTATCCTTAGTATATTTTATAATAATTCCTTTCCTCTGTGAGAAACACTACAATGGTAGGCATGAGCTCCTTCCCCAAGGAGACTAATGACAGCTCTAAGATAAAACCTTCATTTTTTTTTAAGTGACCCTTTACATGTCAAAGCACCGAGTCTCTTAGTTTGGAGAACCAAATAATGGCCATAGTAGGAATATATTTTAAAACCTCTTCTTTGCTGCCATCAATTTTGAAACTCTACACGAAATCTCGATTTCTGTTATGTGTTCAGCCTCTTTAAGTAACAGGTCTCTTACTGGTATTCCCTGTTTACTCAAAATTACCAACTTCATCTCACACTGACCTTGTTAGCACTGTTAAAAAAATCATTTGCCTTTTTTAACCAGGTTTTCCTTTCCACGAGGAGCTGACCCAATTCTTCTTGAAGCCGATTCAGTTTCTGGTTAGAGAGCTGTAGATGTCCTTTCTCCACGTAGTCCTTGGATAGCAGAATCTCAAGTGCCTCGCTCTTCAGTGTATCAACAGCAGAATTCCATTCCTATAAGAGATCACTCTCTTCAGTTTATTTGACATATCTTCCCCTTTTTGTAATCTCTGATAAGATTTAGAGAACATTTAGATGTGTTGAATATATCAGAAATCTGTCATTATATTTTCAAATCATGAAGGAGTAAATGCTACATTCCAGGTTTGAGTACCAAGATGTAGATAAAAAAGAGATAAACACAGAACAGAAAAGAGGCTTAAAAGGGAGACAGTAGAAAGGGGCAGACTGGTGGGATGTGTGACTGATGGTGTGTCTGGTTACCTTTAATATAGGTCACTTATTTTTTCATTAACACAACCTATAAGCATACCCAAAGTACAGTCGACAGCAGTGTGCAATCTCTAAGTCGTTTTGGCCTATTTTTACTCATGTAAGTATAAAAAAGTCTCCCACAGTTCAGTCTCACTGACAATGTGGGCAAATGTGTACAAGAAAAGAAAGGAAATCTCATATTTCATGGCTGTTGTTTTGTATCTGCCTACACTTAAAATTAAAATGAAGAGCTGTTATTCTCCACAAAATTAATAGCTTATTGTGCCGTATTCTCTCCTTCCTGACCCCAGTTTCACCTTAAAATGCTTCACTCTTAACGTTAAATAAACATTTCAAAGAAAGAAAAGAGGTAGCTTTTTATTTTTTGTTGCATGAGAATGACAAATGGTAGGTAGCGAAGAGAGAAGAGTTGGTGTCAACCAAACATTAACATTCAATTTATTTGAAGGGAAATTCAAAATTTCTTGCAAAAGAACTGAAGCCAGATTCAATTTCATAAAATAATTCTTATCTCTAACATGGCAGTCTTGTTAGTGAATTTTTTGGCTCCCATCTCAGCTGTAGCTGAGTGGTAAGCAGAAGTTGTTTGTAAAGCATCAGAAATTTAGCACCAAATTTCAGAAATTGCAATCCGACTCCATCCTGGCTTGTCTCCTATTATTGAGTTACATTTGTTATATTATATTGGATAAAATAAGTATAATTTTAGTGTAATTTACCACTGCTATTTCTATTCATTTCACAAGACATACTAAATACTATGTACCTAGCACTAGGCTAGAAACGATGTCTTGGGGAATATAAATAAAGAATAAAATTTAGTACTTTCCTTTAACAATAAATACATACACTCCTATTTTATATAATTTTCATATATACTTGCATTATTAAATATATGGTAGTGCTACAGACACATATACACAATATGATAATATTTAAGTACTAATTAGTGGAAATTGAAAGTAGAAATTGTACATATTACTTTACAGACTCCCTAGAACCTGTTCTAATATTTGTGCAAGAGAAAAATATTTTTATCAATGGATGCAAGAGCAAGGACAGTGGATTAAAAGACTGGCATTTTTTTTAGTACCTGTTATAAACCTGTGGCTTGTAAGTATAAACTTCGCAAACTCAGGTTAGATATTGTAATTTTTCTAGTATTTACATAGGCTGAGAGGATTATGTTACTCAAGGTTGCATATACAACAAGCATTATTATTATGAACATGTGAGTTCTTGAGATCTTTCATTAATTAATGAGTTACTTTGTCCGCACTTAAGGACAGCTAGTATATGCCATGATGTCTTTTTCATAAAGCACTATAAATATCCTTCCCATTTAAAAATCATTATCTTAACCTTACCGAGAAAGAGTAAATATTTTTAAAGCAGTTAGCACACTTCTGGCACACATTATAGGCACTTACTAAATATTAGTCCCACTTTTCTTCCCATCGGTTTTATCATGGTTCATAAATACCCCCAAATTCATTCTTAATTTATGGGTATTCTTGTTTCCTAGTTCTAAAATAACAATAATGGGAGAATTCTCCAAATGGTATTGATCAGTGTTATGTATTAATCAGTATTTTGAGATAAACAAAATAAAGCAGGTTTCTTTACCACAGTATTTCTCAGAATCTTTAATATATTCATGTGCATTGAGACTTCTAGAGGGAAACTGTGGTGTGAAATGTTCTGAACACTTTTTTTTTTTTTTTTTTTAACCAAGAAACCATTTGTTTGCTAATGTTTCAGAGGACTAAGGCTGCTCCAGGTGAAACAATGCTGTGAAATGAGAGCAGCTGAATCACCTGCTGGTTTACCAGCTCTCACAAAGTCTTTCTGTTTCTGTCCTTTCTTATTTTGTCCCTGTCCTTCCAATCCCTCAATCTGTCCATCTCCTCTCTTTTTTGTCCATTCTCTCATTTTCTCTCTGTTCAAATTTGTGGGGTATTAATCCTCAGCCTACTCAGGTGAAGAGGCGGTGAATGTGTGATGACTAGAATAAAGCAGGTAATTCTTTCAAAAACTTTGACATTGACCAGAACCTTTTGTGCTCATAGAGGAATCCACTTAAGAAATATGGAGAACCTGGGGAAGGCCTAGAAAGCTAGAGTGAAGGAAAATGGAGATGATATTAGGATATGGAGAAATAGATAACTGCCCTCTGTGTGCTCAGCCTGGACAATACTAAGCTCTAGAGTGCGGTCTTAACGCTCTGCAAGACAGTAAGCATTGATTTTTCTTTCTATATGCCAGCACGGTGCTAAATGCTTCACATGTATCGTCTCATTTAATCTGTACCACACCCTGTAAGGTAGGACCTAGTATTATCCTCATTTACAGATGGGGTAACTAAGGCTCAGAGGAAATTTGCCCAAGGTCTCAGCACCAGTAAGTGAAAGAATCAGAATTCAAACTCAGGTAGTTTGACCTTAAAATATGCTCTCTCATCCAGTATGCCAGCATTAGTTCTTTATAAAGGTGATATGCAGTGTTTTTTTTAAACCTCAGAAAGATTAAACATATTAGATTAAAATTATAGAGGTAAAACTTCCATGAGGCCCAGATAAGGCGTTGGAAATGATAAAAGTCTTATGTGACCCTGGGATTTTCTGATTTAAAATCAGAAGCCTCATTGTTTCTAAATAGCCCAAACTCAAGTTTAATTTTGCTTAGCAACTGTACTAAAATAATAAAGCTCTTTTCCATGAATAAGTTGAGAAATATCTGTCCTCTAACAATGTTCATAAATCTGCCTTTAGTATAAATTTTGCAAACAACATTAAAGAGTGACTTCTGGAGTAGAGCCAAGTCTTTGCAAATCCACTTTAACCTTGTGCTTCACATTGTGCTATAAAAAGTGAGCTGTGACCTTCCAAGGAAACTGTAAAGGACCATTTTGTGCCTCTTATCTTTTCTTATTTTCCATCCCCAGTCTTCTTAATTACATTTCACATGAACTCTGTGAGTATTAAATGAAGCCAAGTCTATTCAAAATTTCTATTCAATCTTCTAAGAAAAATTGTTTCTGTTTTCTTTGGGCAATCTATAGGCAGTTTCTGATGCATTTCTATACCATTCTGATGGTGTATTTCCCCATCATTGTTTAGGGGACGCTTCTACTATTATATTTTTAAGATAAAACTTTCCAGACTCCTTTGAATCCATCAAACCATTTAAAAATTTTCGTTGTCATTGTCATCAAGGCTGGAGGAACCCAATGGTGAAAGTCTTGATCGGTTGTCTCTAAGCCATTGCTGCCTGCCTGTTAAGTGTTAAACCTCTGACTGAGTTTCAGTCACTTTGCAATAAAATATTTCCAGTACTTGTCCCCATCAGCAGAAAGCCAAAGCTTGCCATTTCCTTGGCTTTTCAGTTTGACAGGGATATGTGAATATCTCTGACCCAATAAAGACATGTGGTACTGTGTGTTCCTGGGCTTGGGGTGTCTCCACGGGTCACTCTATTATTTTCTTTTTTCACTCACAGTAGTAACCCTTTTAAACTGTACATTTCAGTATTCCATTTGCTGAGGAAATTGAGCTTCTCTTGGATCCCTTGATTGAAAGGCTACTTTCAAGAGGATTAGTTAGGCCTGATAGACAAGAAAGTGAAAATGATTTTCTTTTCTTTTTTTTTTACAGTCCCAGGTTCAGATAAAGTTATGGATTTATGGATTGGCATAAAAATTATCTGGCAAGTAGATTCAAAAAGTAAAAATATTAGCTACTACATTAGAAAAGAAACATTAGAATCACAATATGTTCAGTAAGTTTTTTTCAAGAGAATTTCTCTGTAGATGAGATTTAATGATTCAACACCATGTGGCAAATTTTTTCCATTATAAACTTGACTTCAGAATGTGATATTTAAATGGGAGAATATGAACATATTTGTAAACTACTATGAAAATACCAGTTGTAGAGATTACTGACCAAAATCACATCAGGCAGAGCATGTGTCTAGCTCGTGTATAGTTCCCATAGCATGGCTATTTCCTGGGACATATCATTAGATATAACCCATTTCTTGTTCATATTCTAAGTTTACAGTCCTATTTAGTTCAACATCCAGGAGAATTAACTCATTGACACAAAACTATAAAATTTTACGTGATTGCAGTAACAGATGGTACAAACAAAATTTACCTGACAGTTTTAATCAGACGGTGTTTAAAAGTATGTTTTGAGCAGGAATTTTTTGCAGAAATGTTTATGCTTTTGAAGAGTGGCAGTGAGCCCTTGAAAAGCTAAAATTGACTATGCTGAGTTGGATTACAAACTGGGCCAGGTTCCTCTAATGCTCCCTTCCTGGGCATTTCTACCTCAATTTATACAAAAGCAAGGGTCATACTGGAGAGATGGGTCTATCCCACTCTTGCAGGAGTGCAGAGTTCAGTGCCCTCGGGCCACCTGAACTTTGCTCTCACTGTGATGCATTTCAGCAAAGGCACAGATTGCAAACAGGAAGAATTATGATTTTGTGTGTCACCTAGAGATGAAAGAAGCAAGGTGTTTTGCTTCCTAGCCATAAGTCAGAGAATCATAGCTACTGAATCAGGGACAGCTTGTGGGTGAGAGCAGAGAACTGGAGCTAGAAGTACACTTTTTATTGCGAACTACCTAAGTGGTCTCAAGCAGGGCATTTTGCTTTTCCGAGCTTTACTTTCCTGCAGTGCAATGACAGCAACTACCACTTTACATATGCTT